TTGTCGACAAGACAATAAGGCCAAAGAATCAATCTGCAAAGAAGCAGATATTAAAGAAATGTTACTCCTTACAGAATATGGGATAGTTGATTATGGTATCAAGAAAATGTTAGACCTAATTAACCCAGATGATGAGTCAAGACAAGTACCAATCTGGAAATTCTAAACCCTATCCCAGATACTGAAACCGAGACCCAAGCCAAAGTACAAGAGAATTACAAACCAAAACAGACTATGAAGTTAGTAGAAAGTAGCTCGAAGAAAATTGTATCAAAGCAAACACAACAAGAAATGATTCCAACCAGAGATATTAAAGAAGAAGTAATGAACAACTCATACCAAACTACAGCTCTAACACCTCAGACAAAAGAAAAGGTATACAAAAGCATGACATATATAACTTTATAGGATATTTCAAACGAAACCAGAGCAAACCAAATTAGAAAATGCCTGAGTTTCTATGAGAGGGCTATAGTCAAACACTTCATGTACAATAGGAAAACGAAAGCAGCACAGATAGAGCTAACTTTCAGAAACCCCAAATGAAAAGAGAAACTCCAAAATTCTTGGGCAGTGCATTTTGTAAATGGTAAAATGCTAAGAGTCACAGGAGGTCTTCTAGATAAAGAAACACTCATAGAGAGAAGTAAATACAAATTAATTATAAAGAACCTTCCTAAAACTGCGATTGAAACCTCACTACTAAAGCAGCTAAGAAACATAAAGACAAAGGCAGTTTACATTTCAACGAACAGCAATAGTAACCAAAAAGGCACAGCATCAATATATTTTGCCACAAAGGAGGATCAAAACAGAGCAACAAGCCAGATAGTCTTCTATTTTAACACAAAGTTAGAATGGGCTGAGCCAGGTAGGGATGAAAACAAAAAGATATTTTGGCAATATAGCAACAAAAACAGAACACCAAAATCTAAGACCACTACAAAGAGACCCAAGGTAGAGGAAGACACCACAAGGATACAAGGAAAAAATTCAGAAAACTTAGAAAGAGAAATAGCAGAAGGGTCCAAATGAAAATTTACTGGCAAGGACATTCAGCTAACAAATAGTTTACCCAATAAAAAGAAAAGCTCAGAAGTACAGCAAGATATGAAAGTAGGTAAAAATAGAGAAAAGGAAAAGGAAGCTATTCAAACCGGGCTGCTATATGAGATTATAAAAAGACTAGAGTCACTAGAAGAGCAGCAAAAAGAGGGCAAGGCCCCCAATTGCTTCTAATTGGCACCGTGGGCATCCTAACAAATAGTGGTACCCCGAATGAGAACCAGGTTCAGACACAGATGGTACCAGCATGTAGTACAAAACTGGTCAAACGAATCAACATAGCAACACACAACATAAATGAACTAAACATACATAAACATAGGGTGGACATGTTGCTAGATTGGGGTTATGAAAAAGGTTTTAATGTAATAGGGATATCAGAAACAAATCTACAAGAAATAGAGGCAAGATATATAAGTAGAAACAATATTAAGTTTAGAGAGATCTGGTCATTAGCTTCAAAAACAAAATAAAGGGAAGTATCCCTAAAGAAGAAAGATATAAAAAAGATGAAACTGGTAAAGCAATAGATCAGATAAGGCTGTGCTTTGACACACAGTACTTCTTTGCAGATAGATCAGGAAGAAACCTCAAGGACTACCTCAAAGTAATTGAGGATTATAGAAAAGCAATATGATTACTATATATAAATAATGTAGTTCATGCTAGAAAACAAAAAACTAAGGCCAGCCAGATGATAGAAATAAAAGCAACGGTATTTGGAAGTGGACAAGATATCTACGAACACCTATTAAAAGGACAGCTGCTACAAGAAATATTTAGAGAATTAGTAAAGGAAATGCATGCAAATATACAAGAAATACCTAGAAAAACTGATTTAGATAAAAAAAAACAAATAAATGAAGTGCGAACATTAAGGCACTATGCAAATGATATACTGCCAACAGACAGAGAACTTGATAAAAATTTAGAACAAAGAATCAAGGATCTGAATAAATAGAACCCAAGAATGGGAATACAATTCAATAACTTACTATCAAAAAAAATATATAAATATAAAGAAGACCTGATAGAATATATTACGCAAGCCATGGCAAATCTAAAAATAGAATGACAAGAAAAATATCAAGATCCAAAAGAAGAAGCATCAAGAAAAAGAATGCATGATGAGAAAATGGGAAAAATAGCCCATGAAATAAACAGAGTAAAAGAAAAATAGTCACCACAAGTAGAACCAACAAAAACAAAACAGACACCCAAAACACCCATAATATCCACATTCTCTGGAATGTTAAATATGATGAAAAGAAATCTTGAGGAATTAAAGAAAGAAAAAGACAAAAATAATACTGTAGAATTTACTGAAGATCTGGAAAGATTAATGAAAGAAATATTAGATATAGAAACAGAATATAATAAAACAAATAGAATGAACTCTAAAGAAGTATATAAAATAGTAGAAGAAATAAAAAGTATACCAACACTACCAACAGAAATTAAAGAATTTAAAGGAACAGAAAGAGAACAACTACTCAACTTTCTAACATGGTATAACAACCAAAAACTAATAACAAAAGGATTGATAAAGAAACAATTAAGAGCTAAAGAAGAGGAATATCAAGTAAATATTAAAAAGATATTAGAAATAAAAAATGAAGAATTTAAAAAATTTGATAAACAAGCTATTATACAGACCCTTTTAACTACTTCCGAAATGGAAAAAGATGATGAAATCAGAGAAAAAGCAAATCAAAAATACTTTGATTTCTGTTTAATAGACACAGAAAACAAATCACTCAAGAAAATAATAAATGAAGAAGAATTACTTGAACAATTAAAAAAGGAATCCAAACAACAGAAAGAAATCCAAACTTAAAAGAAATGAAAAACAGAAAAATTATATGAAGATATAGATAAAAATAGTGATACTAGTAGTATATTAGAAGACAAAGCACTCCAATGAGATTTTGAAGAATTCAATAAAAAACTAATCTTACAAAATAGGCCTGGAGACTTATCTATTAAACCAACGAATAAACAAAATAATAGATCACAAAGAATCTTAGAAGAAATAAAAAACTATAGATTTAGAGCTAATATGAGAGATGATTCTACAAGTGAAAAATTAATTAAAAGCAAAACATCTACATCTAGAGATGATGAACAACTAATAAGAAATATAACAAAAGGACTAATGAGAAAAACTGAAGAAAATCAAACATTCGTAGATACAAAAAGCATACCAAGTATAGAACCATTAGACCCAAAGATATAGAAAATAATAGATGATCAAGATAAATATGATCAAACCTTTAAAGTAGAAGAAGATGAATATCTAAAAAGAAAAGGTGACATAGAAATAGTTCAACCAGTAGAAAGACCAAAAGTAATTAAATCATCACCAACACCATCTCTTATAACAAAAGGAATAAGCATTGTAACAGAACTATTTAGAAAAGATAATAAAGATCTAGAAAAAATATAATAAAATACTAGGCTGCAACCCAAATAACAAAACCACAAGATGAATTTCAAAGAAAGAGGAAAATATTCTTTGAAAAATGACAAAGAATATCAATAGAAGATTATAAAGCTAAACTAGAAAAAGAGAAAAAGAAATTAGATGAAGAATATAAAATAATACAACAATCAAAACAACAAAATGAAGAACTGTCAGTAGTAACTGACTACAATAAAAATTCTATAGAAATAGAAATAGACAAAGACTCAAACTCACCATACTTCAGACCAATTCAAACAAGGCCTGCTACACCAACAAGTAGTAGTAAAGGAAAAGAAGTAGATTATAGATATGAAATCAAAATATAGAAACAAAACCAATAGAATTTAAAAAGGGAATTAAATTAAAAATATATAAAGAATTAGAACATATACCAAATAAATATAGAACACTTATAATACCAACTTTAGGAACAGGAAAACCTCTAAAAACAAGAAAAAACTATGTATTACAACCAAATACTTGGACTGTAATTAAAATAGACAAAAAAGAAACTACCTCGTAACAACACCATTACATATGGCAAAAGAAGGATTATGTGTACAAAATGGATTAATCAATGATTGGACAATCAGAATGATTAACTATACGAATAATCTGAAAGTAATACAAAAAGGAAAATATATTGGAAATATAAAAGAAGTAAAAAATGTTATTAAAATTAAAGAAGTTTGTGAAACAAACAAGTATAGATATGATATGAAAATAGGAGAACAAGACTTAACCGAAAAAGAATGACTTGAACTATTATTAAAAAATACAAATGAAAGGTTTAAAAGAATATTAAAACCAATATTCATTAAATATATAACTATATTTAGAATAAAAAAAGAAAAAGGAATAGTATTCAATAAAGAATACTTTGAAAGACTTGGAGAAGTCAAATTAGAATTAAATATACCAGAAAATGAAATACTACCAAATCATAAAAGTAGACCAATAAGAAATTATTCAGAAGACCAAATAGAACAATCAAAGAAATTATATAAAGAACTAATAAGTTCTAATATAATAGAACCTTCAAGAGCTAAATAGATAACACTATTAGTAATAGTACTGAAATCTGATAGAAGCTATAAAGCAGCAATAGATTATACTATGCTTAACTGATATTTAAAGAAAGATCCATTC